GGTGGTAGTCTCCTATGAGCAGTAGTCTCCCAGCACCACCTCCTGACATTTCTCAAGACAGAAGTATCACCACTTTAACAAAGTGCCTGTTACTTCTGGGCAGTTACCCCAGAAGGATTGTTATGGTCGTTCATATCAAAAGATCCTTAGAGCTCCAAGAGAATTAAAAGGTCTCATTGACCAAGGCTGCTGAAACTAGATGGAAATGGGTGTGAATAATCTATTTTATCCAGGTGTGTACAGCTGTCCAGTGACTGTCCACTATCACTTTGGCCAGGAACAGCAAGCTTGACACAGGCATATGAGAGGCCCTGGGATTTTTATTCACCTCCTTACATAGCATCTTAAATGGACCAAAATGAAACTTTAAAAGAATCACAAAAATCAAAAATCTTAACTATCGCTTGCCACACAGCAGCTAGCCTTTCCTTTGGACCACTGGACATTCAAAAAGCCTTGGTTCATCACATATAGCAAAATATCTGTTCTTTAATACAGCCCACCACAACATCACTATAATGTTATTATATCACAAAAATAGCGTTATTTAGATAATCATAGGGATGGCATTCAAATTACAGAAGGAAGGCTGATATTGCTAAATCAGGACCCATCCCTTGAAAGAAGGCTATATAAAAGATGTTGCTGAACTGCTGCTTGGCCCCTTGGCCTCTGCAAGGTTCCACTATGTACTCCATGCTTTTTAATATCTACATGAAGATGGTAGGAGAGGTCATCTGGAGATGCAGGCTGGGTTGCTACCATTATGCTGAAATCTCAGCTTTATCTCTAGGCTTGCCATGTCCCCCTGGGGGGTGGGGAAACCCCCACCCCAGAGGCCCCTTTCCCTGCTGCCAGCGGATCAGGCCCCCGGGGGGAACCCCACCCCCAAAGCACCCGACGGGCACGTCACCCGGAAGTGACGCGACCACGCCGGGCACGCTGGGGGCGGGGCCACGATCATCCGAGGGAAAACTCTATGTTTTTCCCTCGGATGGTCATGGCCCCGCCCCCAGCATGCCTGGCGTGGTCGCGTCACTTCCGGGTGACGTGGTCCCAGCGTGCGCGCTCTCCAGGAAGAAGCCGGGAGTCCCCCGCTCCAACAGCAGGTATGACTTGGCAACCCTATTTATCTCATGATTCCAGTAGATCCCAGGGAGGCTGTGGAAACTCTGAACAGGCAAATAAAGACAGTTTGGGGATAAATGAGGCTAATGAGTGACAAAACTGAGATGCTACTGGTGAGAGGAAGGAGAGAGGAAAAAGGCCTCTCAATGTGTGAGACAAACACAGAATACTTATAAAGCAAATCTTTGTTTGCTGAATGTTCCAACAGGGCTTCAGGGCTTTTTAAAAACTGAAACCAGAATACCAAACTGGCCAACCTTATTCATCTTGGTGAACAGGAATCCATGCCATTACAGATATTCCCATTGCCTGTTCGCACTAGACAGAACTGAGCCTTCCTTTAGGAAACCTTTATTTCATTTAAAATTAACACTTCCAAACTTTCCCACTTTTTAAAAATCACAAGTCAAGTGGACATGTTGGTCATAAACTGAACCAAGCCCTGTGTCTACATCCTGAGGTGACACAACAGGAACACATCCTACAAAACAGAAGGTCCTGGACGCCTCCTGTGTAGCATACGGTACAGCAGGCGAGACGAACAATATCTCAGAGTTACTGCCTTCTTCTGTGAACTTAAGAGGGTAAAACTCTACTTAAGACTGTAGTGTAAGTCAGAATGCATGTTAGCAATTTTATCAGCAAACACCTTAGCAAACACTCATCACAAAGAAATACCAACTCTGCTTTCTCCACAAGACAGAGACTGGTGCCACAGTAGCACTTTTTACTGCTACAGAAGGACAGAACTATTCTTCTACAGAAGAATCTAATGCATTGCTTATAAGTAGGCTTGCCGGCCTCCTTGTGATACCTGGAGATCTCCTGTTGTTACAATTAGTCACTAGGTGACAGAGATCAGTTTCACTGGAGAAAATGGCTGCTTTGGAGGATGAACTCTATGACATTATACCATATTAGGGTCCCACCTCTCCCCCATTCCTGCCCTCCCCAGGCTCCATCCCAACTCAGAACTGGTGACCCTACCTATAAGAGAATTACAAGAGAACTATCACTGCAAAACTCTAAGTGCAGGGCACTGTTTGGACCAAAATGGATGCCAGTCAGGCAGAGTTTTCAAGGGGCGCGTCAGAGTGGTTGGTTGGCTACTGCCCCCTCCTTACCCTGGAGAGATGCAGGACTTTGGGACAATGGATCACCTATTGATTCACTCAGTAAAATTCCATTAAAATCCAAGCCTAACTTCCCCTTCACCCATTACCCTTGATTAAGTGGTGATTAATCAATGCTTAAGTCTATTCACCTTCTCAATTACCCTTCCCATCCAGTGCTTGTAGGACCATCTGGTAGAACCATCAAGTCATTGTCCTCTGGCAGTGAGTCAATCTGCCTCAGGATACGTTTTGCCCTATAAAAATGTCACCTTGCTGCTCCAGCAGTGTGTGTGTGTGTGTGTGTGTGTGTGTGTGTGTGTGTTCTCGGACCCACCACACATTCCCACTTGCATGTGGGTCTTCTCTCTCTCACTTCCCGAAACACTGGCCATTTCCTTATTCGACTTGCTGCTTCCACAGACCTCTTCAGGATTGGTAAATATCGCCCTTCCCTAAAAATCTCTCCCCTTTCCTCCATGCCTTTCTTAGTTAGCTCTTGTGTGTGTTTATGGTATGCATTTTTGTTTTATCCTATTCTTAATAAAAACTCTACCAGCTTAACAACTGCCTGGTTATTTTTGAAAGTTCTCATGGGAACAAATTCCTGTACACATCTCAGTTACCTGCCTCTCACTCCATCTCCAAGATAATTCCCCCAAACTAAGTAGAGACTGCCTACTTTGGGTAACACTGGAACTCAGACACCATTCAGCATTACACCTTTGGTTTGAACACATGAACTTGTCTCCTCTTTAATCTGTGAAGCTGTAAAGTACAGCAACTCACATGGCACATCGATTGCTTGTTGTACATTTTGCAGATGCTACAGATCATTTACACCTTAAATTCCTATTGATTTGAGGAAAAATGCATTCTATGCATGGTGTGCAGAACAGTCCTAAGTCAAAGCTACAGAAAGTCTGTGGTTCGAAGCTTCAAAACATGACATTTACTGAATATTCAATTACAGGACTAAATCTTAAAATCATTATCAAATAAAACTCTTTAGATACCTTGGAATTTTGTTCCAGTACAATTTAAAATGGTCCTCTCACTGGGAGCATTCCCTTATTTTGGCCAGAAATAAGATTGCAGCTATAATGCATTACTTTTACCAAAGAGGTAATCAGTTTGTTCCAGCCACTCTCTGAATTTTTCAGGCTATAGCAATCTCTCTCCTGTTATATGGGATTCCTGTGTGGATACAGGGTTTTTCTAAAGAGGTTGAACGTGTTAACACCTTATTTCTGCACAGGATACTTGGTCTCCCTAATTCTGTTGCGTATTTTACTCTCTGTGCTGAGTTGGGTTTACACGTTATTGAAACAAGGGTGTGGTCTATTGTTATTAAGTTTTGGCTTTGTCTTCATTTCAGCCCCTCTGCTAACAGTCTTATTGCTCTCCTCCCTGCGGACCCTTACACCTCAAAGTGGTCCCAATTCATAGTGTCTAAAATCAAATCCATTGGTATTGATCTGGATTTTTTTTGCCAATTCTAGTGAAATGGATATTCTTCGGATTGTCCAAAGGAGGATTTGGGACATTGAAGCTCAAGTTATTTACGCTGGTAGCTCTGGAGTCTGTTCTCAACATTTTCTTGGTCTTTTCCCCACACAAGATTCTATGGCCCAGTACTTTTCTAATTTGGTAAACCCCTCACACCATAGAGCTTTCATGCTTGCCAGGTTCAATCTCTTCCCTTCGGCTGTTTTGACAGGCAGACATTATTTGGGGAGGTCTAGTTTTACTTTAAAATGTTCTTTATGTTTTGCTCTCAGGGTAATCTGGCTGGCACCAGGGAAATTTAGGCTTTCCCAACCTTTTTCTATAATATTTTTCCTACTGGTTTTGGTATTGTGACCCAGGGTCTGGGCTTTCGAAGGACTATGTGTTTCCTGGGAAGAATTTCGTTCAGAACTTGTGTCTTAAATAAAAGTAGATTTATTTGATGTTCACACACTCTTCCCTCTTATTGACAGGGATCAGGGCATGTCACTTTGTAACAATATTTTCCTTAGGCCATATATGGTTTCTGTTTCTTTATGCTTTAACTTTTCATAACACACACAAGACTTCTCTCTCTCAGACCTTAAAACGAACAAACCGCTTAACTCTTTTACTACACAGAACCCAATCTTTCCCTCACAGGGATGAGTCTCCTTCAACTCCGAGACAGAACTTAACACCTCTTCTGCTTCTCTCACAGAAATCACACACATAAACATGAAATCGTTACATAAGGGTATTCCTTATAAAGAAAGAGTCTGTACCTGTCTTTAAAATGAACCTGATTCTGTGCAACATATTCTTTTTCGCTGCTCTCATTACTCTTTGCTACATCATTCTTTGATCCATCCCCTCCTTTCTTCTGCAAAATCTATGACCAATAATGACCTTTGTTTTTTGTTATCTGACAAATCTCCTGAAATTACTGCAGTTGTCGCTGAGTACCTACTATTTGTATGGAAGTTAAGGGTTAGAAGCTGTAATATTTAGATTTACCCTTTTCTCTCTCTCCTTTTTATTAATCCCAAATGGGTTCTGTTTGGTGGAGACTTTTAGTATGTGTATATATGTATTTATTGGTGTCTAGTTTTTTTTGTGTGTGTGTTGTATTATTATGCCATTAAAGGTGTCTCTCTCTCTGAACTCTATAATTAACATATATTAGAATAGACGTGGAAAATTATAGAACATTCTAGAACATATTATAGGCTTCCACTGTGTTTATTGATTATAATGTTAGCTTTCTGTTACCTGTTGCCGAATTTCTTCTTCCATTTTTACTGGAGATCCCAGCTCAGCTACCTGCTTGACCCCTTCGCTTGCATAACCTCCATATTCCCAGAGTACGTAGTTCTTTGAATGTGATCCACCAATGATTGCAGACCAATGGTTGGCTCGCCCTTTAAAAAAAGACAGTCTATTATCTATCTGTTTTATATAAAACATTTTAATGCCACTTTTCCACACAACACAGGTGCCCAAGGCAGTGAACAATCAAAACATTAAAAGACACTATAAAAATACATATATTCATACACACACACACACACACATTACAATTAAAAGTTTAAAAATGAATTATTTAAATGGGAAGGAAGGTCATGAGGGAATACCACACACTTGCAGAAGACAGTGATATAGGGAGCCAGATGAATCTCCCTGGGGAACGAATGCCATAATTTTGGTGCCACGACTGACCATGTCCTTTCCTGAACTTCAACCAGTGTTCCCTCTAAGCTGAGTTAGCATGAGCTAGCTCACAGTTTTTTAGCCTCCAGCTCACAGATTTTTGTTTTAGCTCAGGAAGGATTTATTCAGTAGCCAAATCACTTGCTCACAACTTTAATGCCAGTAGCTCACAAAGTAGAATTTTTGCTCACAAGACTCCACAGCTTAGAGGGAACATTGACTGCAACCCATCTAGCCTTAAATACCAGGGCACCTGAAGCAGGGTCTCTGACAATGATCACTGTGGTCAGGTAAGTTCATATGGGAGTAGTTGGCATGCTGGTTCCAAGCCTTATATGGCTTTAAAGGTCAATGCCAGCACCTTGAGTTGGGCTCAGAAACAAACTAGAAGCCAGTGTAGGTAGAACGGAGTGATATTATGAAACACTGTGTAGTATATTGCCACAGAACTTTGCCACTTTCCTACAGATAACAGAGCATCTTCTGTTCTAATGTCTCATTTGCATTCCTAGGTCTTCCTTCTAGAGACCCACAAGGAATATCTTATCAAGTAGGTTAGTTATTCCCAGTTCCTATTCACAACAATGAAGTGAATCATACCCCATTCTATCACTCCACTGAGCAATGTCTGAAGCCGTCCGCTAGCCTAACAACATTTCTTCCAACTTAAGTGGCTCCTTAGGTTGGAGGAAGGCACCTTGGAGGAAGGTTGGATCCATGTCGTTGTCTCATTTGAAGGTCACATGCAACAATGTTTTTTTAAAAATCACTTGTAGGTTCCAGTTTTCTTCTACTATAGCCCCCCCCCCCGATATCACATCCCATGCAATCCCAATCCTCAAGAGTGGGTTTTAGATGGTGCAGCACCACTCACTGGAGTAGACTTTTATTGTGAGTCTGCCCAGCCATGCTCTGTGTGAATAATGTGGGAGTACCTGATCATAGGGGGTTGCCAGTCCCCAGGTCCCAGTGGGGGTTCCCCTGGTTTTCGGGGCTTCTGCCCACTGCTAGCCAGCAGAACACCCCCCACCCCCTTCACGAATGCCCCCCAAATCCCCCCCACCAGTGACAAGGCAGGACCTGGCAACCCTACCTGATCACCTTTTTGGACCCAAGCAGGAGTTTTGGGGGCATCCTTCAGACAGACTGAGAAGAGGATCTCTTTGTTGTCTGTTCCACATTGTCTTGGTGAGTGGTAGAATTATATGATTAGGCCTGGTCTTTAACTGGAAAGGCCATAACTAGTGCAGACTAGAATAATGTGGGACATTATACTGTAAGTAGAGTAAGTTGTGGACACCCCTGAGGCATCTAAGGACTGTTCCCAAGCTAGCCCATCATTGGTTTGAGCAGCTGGGTTGGTTAGGAAGAGACGCCCTTGGTTGAACAATATCAACCAAACCCTTAGTGCTGGATCAGCATGTCTGGAGAGAGTGATAGGGCTTAACACCTCTAGGAATTATTTTTTACATGTAGGTGAAGATGAGCAAAGCCAATAGTAGCACTGGCCAAATTTGCAGGCAGGGTGGGTTTGCCCAAAGTACTGGTAGCTGTGGTAGGTTGCTAGTTAGGACTCGCATTAATCTAGTGATGTTTTATTTATGTAGATTACCCATTTATAAAATAGTTAACTCATATACTTATGTCCTTATTTTGGGGAACTGTTTTTTTTTGCTCACAGCTTAGTCTCAAATACAATAGTTATGTCACTATGTCTCTGCTTTTACCCCCATCTATAACACAGAGCTCATAACAATGGCTTATTTCAGTGACCTACTGAATTAGCTTCAAGTAACTGGCAGTCTAACTAGAGAAGAAACTGGTAAATTGATTATTGGATCTTCCCAGCATTTCTTAAAAAACAAAGAAAAAGCAGCTGTTCAGGGCCCCAATATGGATTGGAACTAGGGTTGCCAGGTTACCCCGGCTACCAGCAGGGCACAGGGGTGAGGGTTGTCGGATCCACACTGAAAAACTCCTGGAGATTTGGGGAAGGAGTCTGGGAAGCACAGGGGCTTCAAAGGCGTACAATGTCATAGATTCCATCTTCTAAAACATCCATTTTTTTCCCCAGGGGAATTGATCTCTGTAGTCTGGAGATAAACTGTAATTCCAGGGGATCCCCACATCCCACCTGGAGGCTAGCATCCCTACCTTGAACTGCATGGGATGGGGGGGGGGATTCTTCCATGTCCACTTGGTTTTGTAAATCAAGCCTGACTCTTTCCAGTGCTGGAAGCCCATTTTTCCTCCTGCCCCCACCCCTTCAAGGCTAATAGTGCTGGGGGCCTTCAGTTTTGATTGGCAAATCCATGTGGAAATGAAAGTGTTAAAACCCTTCCCCGGGTCATACTGCTGCTGCTGCTTTTATTTTATAGGTATTGGGAAAATCTGGTCACAAATGTTCCAGCATCTTGTCTCATTAGACCTTGAGTTATAAAGTTCTTTTAAAATTCATGAAGAGGGGGAAGGAGAAGTAAACACACTACAGTTGCTGGTATAACTATGATCCAAATGTGTTGTGCTTAAGCAACTCCCATTGTGTTCAGTGCAATATACTTCCTGTTAAGTATGCTTAAAATTTGGGCATGATCTTTCACAGCTCTGCTTGTGATAAATCCCACTGATTTCAGTAGAAGTTGCTCCAAAGCTGGTATATGGAGTATTAAAACTTTAAGCAAGCAAAATGTTTTGCAGCTCTGTGCCTGTGCAACCAAGACAAAATACACTATTGGGAAGATTTTCAAGAGCGTAAACTGAAGATACACCCCAAACTGCCATCTGTGTCATCTAATAAATGATTCAGCTGCATCCAAGGCTGCATTTTATTATTTAAAAGTCTCCTGTGTGTCTTATTTTAGAACTATATTCTGGATACTAACAAGAACAGAGCTTAAAAAATTAGATTTGTATTAAAGTGCACTTTGGCTGACAAACTAGTAAATAAAACTTTGTAAGTAACTTAGAGGGAGACATCAAGAGCTAGTTTAAGTGCTTGTATCTTATTTATAAGCTAGTAATATTAATGTTCTCAGGCCAAAGGGAAAGCTGAGATCTTTTAAAGCTTTTTATTTCCATAGAAATCTAATAAAGCCTACAGGTTTTTGTTTTCAAAATTATACCCTCCAAAGGCAGAAAAATGGTTCCTTAGAAATGTCAGAACAATGTAATCTGGATGTTATATTATTATTCTTTTCAAACATGATCTGGAAATAAATAAATAAATAAATAAATAAATGACAGCACCCCATGGCTGATTTCGCACTAGAGCTGCCTCGATGTTGCGCCGCTGTTTGCCCCGATACTATTGGTCAATTTCACACCCGAAGCTGCGGGGCTGCCTTTTGACTCACGGCTTCGCCCGATTTCCCCCGCAGTTTCGTGATCCTGTTTTGCTTTTTTTTATTTATTTAAAATTTTTATCGTGATCCTGTTTTCTGAGGATCACGAAAATGCGGAGGAAATCGGGCGAAGCCGTGAGTCAAAAGGCAGCCCCGCAGCTTCGGGTGTGAAACTGACCAATAGTATTGGGGCAAATGGCGGCGCAACATCGAGGCAGCTCTAGTGCGAAATCAGCCCATGTTCCACATCCATTACCTGATGAGATTTAGACTGCTGGGAACTCAGAAGCTTTACAGATGGAACTATTAAGATGGTTCACTTGCGGAGGTGGATCATCTGGTTGGATTCTTGATGGCCCTTGGGAAGTTCCTAGCCAACAAGGCACAAACTATATGGCAAAACCCTTTTTGGAACTCTGAGATTTACAGTTGACACAATCACTCCTCAATGTCCACAATTGCCCTGACAAGCCCATTTGGCATCGCCTTTCACTGGGGAACTTGGGCCAATAGATTGCTAGAGTGTAAAGTGGGAAATGAATTGATCTGAACACAAGCTACAGAAGTTTGCTTTGCTTATGTCTGTAGACACTGAGAGAAAGGGATTCATGATCATGACAAGCAGACACCAAAGGCATTCAGAGACACCTTTATAATAGTATAATAACTACTGCCTGTGGACTGTTTTATAAACATCGTTTTTGGTTTATGCTGTTCTTATGTTATGGCTTTTCTTATGTTGTGATTTTATGTGGGGACGAGGAATCTCTGGAGGCATGCCCGGAGTTCTATGTTCCCACAGGGAGATTAGACAGTAGTGCGCAGTTACATCTGCTGAGTCCACTGATAAAAGTAACTTGGCTATAGTCGGGTAAAGATAAGACGGTGAGCTGTGTGGGCAAAGAGCGTTCTGTTAAGAACATACTGTGATCCTAGTTTAGAGTCTTCTGCTTGTAGCTTTTTCAATATACAGGGCAAGGGGGCGGGAAAAGGAAAAATCCTTAATAAAGCGCTGCTGGGCCAGTCTGGTTCAGAGCGCTTCGGCAGATCTGTGTGTTGTGTTGTTCATTTGAACCCTCAAGCCTTCAATTTTATGGCTTATTTTTAGGTGAAACTTTTGCAACACATTTCATAAATAAATAAATACATCTTTCAATTCAAATAGATTGTTTCCCTTTTATATTTATGCCTTTTAAAATTGAAGGTGGGGACAGATAAGGGGAGCAGCTGCTAAATAAAAGCACTTAAATTGGTGACAAAATGATGCTTCTGCCAGTTTCATATAGTGGTTAAGTGCACAGACTCTAATCTGGGAGAACCACATTTGATTCCTCACTCCCCCATTTGCAGTGTCTGGATGACCTTGGACA